ATTTGAAGTTTTTAGTTTCTGCTTTTGAAACATGGTAATTCCTGTGTAGCGATGAAACCATATTTTTAAATCAGTTAATTTATAATATTTATGCTCTGTAAATTTACTTTGAGGACTGTTTAGTAAAAACAAAAATATCAATAAGAACGCCGGATTATATATCTTAATGTTCTTTCTTTTTTTTTACTATAATATATATATATATATATATATAAATAATGATGAGTACAGAATCTGTAAAAATCCATGTAGTTATAATTTATTTCGTGAACTTTACATCCAACTCTTCAGATGGATGCAAAAATTGAACTCTATTTATTAACGAAACGCTGGTCTGAAGAGATGGAAAGATGAAGAGATATTCATTATTATATTGCTCTCTTCTTACATTGAGCTCTTTTTGGATTAATATCCTCCTTGGAATTATCCCTACTAATTAACAACTGATATTACTTATATATATATATATATATATATATATATAACATTCATTAAAACCGACTGACAAGGCATTGCAGTTAAGAATTTTATCTAATTTTTCTTGTGTCTTTATAATTTCCTTCTTTTCTAGACATAAATTATGCAAAAATTGTCCGAATTTCTGCATATCCTAGTAGTTTCGGCTATTCTTTTAGCCATGGTTCATGAATTTTTAGCCGAGTGTAGTGATTGTTTTATTTTATATATGTATCTAGAGTTATAGGAATGTTTTATTTTCCAAACACAGTCGACCAACACTTAATAATATCAACTATGAACACGACCAGGATGTGCTGACCGTGTTTGTACAATCTCTACATAATTTATGTCCAGAAAGAAGAAGCACAAGAAAAATTAAATAAGAATCTGAACCGTAGTACCTTGTCAGTAATATTTAATGAAACTTGTATAAGAGAGAGATTGCTGCCCAAATACACAATTATATATATATATATATATATATATATGTAAAGACAAAAACATATACTTGTGTATCTATAACAAAAATATATATAATCATACTTATATATATATATATATATATATATATATATATATACGTATGTGTGCGTCCATGTATGTATTTGTGTGTGCGTGTGTGTATATGTGCATTCATAAGTGTATGCGTTTCTTCGAATGTGTATACATATATGTGCCTATATGTACGCAATTGTGGAGATTTGCCTAAATTTCCAGAAATGGTGAACCTTATATCATAAGGTCTTTAGTTTTTATTTTTACCCTAAATCAAATGCTGCTCTTCTTTAAAATTCTTCTATTAGTTTCGCTTTGTTATTTGTGCTGTATTTACATCTTGAGATGAGACATATTGGACGTTGGCGCCGCCATTATTGCTGATGCGCTACCCCCCGTTCTGGTGCCCCCGTCTCCATCATTCAGACAACCGTTCGGCACATTTGTTGACACCGGAAGTGCGTTTGAGTTTGAAGGGGGCCACGTGTCATTCTCATGGTAGCTGGAAAGTGTCGCTTCCCACACTGCATCAATTGACGGTCGGGAATTGTTCATACTGCTGATGTCCAATGTTAGTTTGGTGCATTCGCTGCAAAAGATATAAAACAAACAAATACACGTATCAGAAATCATTATGCAAGTTGCGATGTTGCAAACATATTTCGTTATACTGATGCGAATCATTTGCATTAAGTTTTAATAAGACATAATAATATCAGTACAAAATGGAGATAATTAGAGTGGGAAAGCTATTCAGACGATGAGTTTTGTCACTATATGGTCGGCATTTTCATGTCGGAATGAGAGACAAACCAGTATATAAGGAATTTGCCGTGGAATTTGAAGAAAGACATAATAAATATCCTTATCAGATACTACGGACATAAATTATTCCCCTATTGAATCCGTTTACGTCTTCTGGCATTTAACCCTAGAATACTAACCATCAATTAAAATTACACCACTACTAACCATGGGTATATCATACCCGATTTTGGAAATACCAACAAAAAAATATTTGAAATATTTTATATGCAGGCACTTCAAACTTTGTACTTTGAGTTATACATTAATAGGAACTGAAAAACATTATTACGCTGGGTACTATATACCCATGGTTAGTGTTCTAGGGTTAAATTAGACCACTCGGAGTAGATTTCTGTTTTTCCTTATTGGTTCGCATTGTGCTAATATCACCGATCATCGAAAAGGCATTAGTAGCAAAATGCTGTATACGAACTAACAGAGAAAAAATACTCAGATGTGTTATTTTCAAATCCAGCAGACGTTAACCACTTTAATACGAAAAATAGAAACATTTTTCAAGGCAAGTAGACCTGTAGCATTTGAAATCCTTATTCCACATGTAAATCGGTGATATTAATTTTAGCTTATTTCATGTGGAACGCCCCTTCTACATTTTATTTCTCCCTCCTACTAGCTGTAAAAAAACAAAACAAAGACAACACAAAAACAAAAAAGAAACAAAACAAAACAAAACAAAAAAGAAACAAAATAAATAAAAAAAAAACAATTAATAGATCGATTGATTGATTTGGTCTTTACGGCTTATCAACTTTTTGCAAGTTATTTAAAGGCGGAAAATATTATAGGAATGTTACTGATAAAAATCCTACTAATTAACCCACAACTGCGAGTGGGTAAAAGGTGTGAACTCATACCTTTCCCTAAGTTATTTGTACGTAAATGAATATAACGATTCCCGATGGAATTAGAACTCTGATATCCGATTAGCAATTCTAAACCGTTATCCATTACACCACCCGCACATCCAAGCTTACAGCACCTGGTATTTCCAAGAGGTCACCCATCTAGGTACTGACCACGCTCTATGTTGCTTAACTTCGATGATCACACGAGAACCGCCCCAAGAAAACAAAACTAAAAAGGACAAAAACTTGTGGGCTATTAGGAAGAAAGATCAACCTCTGCTACTATAAGCAACATTCGTCTCTGACATTGAGGCGCATCAAATTAAAATAGGAGGCAATACTTTCGGAACGTCTCCAGTGCAAACAGATATGAAGATACTTCGAGGTAGATAAAAACTTATTCCTCTATTAGCATACCATCAGCCAGCGTCCGCCTCTGACGCTGTGAGGTAATGTAACAAAAATGAAGGCAATACTTTCGGATCACTTGCAGTTATGCAATTCCTTGTACAGCCGAAATGCAACAAAATCCAGACACTGTTCTGCAGTAATTTTGAAACGGAATCATTCAGCTTTGGTTAAAAATAAAACTACATTTACTCATTATTGCATTATCTGCAATATGTTTCCGAAATTGCTTTTGAAATTCAATAAAAAACAAATTTTATTCATAATTCTCGTAGTGTGATAAGCTGCATACGTGAAATACACTTTCGATTAATCAGAAATTTCGAAATTTATTGTCTATTGTTTCTCCATGTCGGCTAGTAAAGGCGCCCAACATGTTAGTTGCTTTCTTTAATTTCTTTATCTAATCAAATTAGGGTAATGTGCCGTCGAATTCAATATAATTGTTATTGAATGCACGGATATGTTGTCATAACCTATTTAATATCAGCCGTGAAAAGAGAGCTTTGTAGTGAATCATTCGTAGCAAATATGCACTTAATTACAGTTATTTTTCTAATTGCATTTCACGTTTATATTTTTACTACGAGGTCAATATAACACGGAATGACGTCTGAAGCAATTTTCAAATCGATAAAATAGATTCAAAGTCTTTTCTCTTTTCTCCATTGTGACACATTTATTAAAGTCTGTGTAAATCCATTAAAACAGCAGGTTGAGTGTTAGGAAAACGCTTCGGAGTTTAGAGTAGTCGACTTAAAACAAGACCCTCTGGGTTTGCTCTAAAAAATTATCAACTGATTCCCCAACAAAGGAAACACACTTACATATGTAAATTAATGACATATGGTAAAACTCATATTGACATTTCTATCTATATCTCTGAGATGATTTATTATTCAAACTTTTATCCTCATCTTCATCGCCATATTCACAACGTTTCGGCTGTTGTACGCTCCGGCATACAGGTAATTAGAATTTTGAACCGAACTTTATATTTTGCCCATCGGGGTAGATTGTTCTAGCTCCACGTGCCATGCCTCTTCTGGATGTCTTAGTTATTTCCCTTTAACTCAACAAGTTTTTGATCACCACTGCTGGCACTTATAAACCTAATATCTCAGTAAACATTTTTTTTTTAACCAGTGCTCATATTACATTTTTTCAGTTATTATTATTGTATTGGTTAATTGGTTGGACCTAGTGACTATACCCAAAGAGTTGTAAGTTCAATACCCGCCCGCAGCAGTGGTGAACCGAAACATAAATAACTGAGACATCCGGAAGTGGCATGGCACGTGGAACTAGAACTATCTTCCCCGGTGGACCAAATAAAGGGTTCGGTTCGAAATTCCAATCACCTAAAGAAGGCCTGAACGTACAACGGCCGAAACGTTGTGAATATGGTAATGGCGATGAGGATAACATTCCGAATAATGTAAATAATGCAAGTAATCTTATTGACATATAAAAGGAACTTTTACTGGTTGACTAATGAAATCCTTTTATAAGTACGAAGACCAAAATAAACGCCGAATACAACAAATGACGGTTACAGTTTAATTTGAAAAAGTTTTTACTGTATTCATCACCCAACTTTTTCTTTTTTTTTAAATATAAAACTTATTACAACGGCCCGAAGAAGGTTTTTCGGAACAAAAAAGAATAACTAACAATTTTTTATTTTATTTTTGTCATTCGTTTACCCACCGTTCGTCGGATATATATATATATATATATATATATATATATATATATATATATATATATATATATCTCAATCAGCTAAGCGACAAAATTTTACCCATATTAATCTATGTAGGTTCTGCAGACAGCACCATCATGTGGGAACGAAAATGCCTATTTTTGTAGTGATGTTATAACATGTTTATGTTATAATTTTAGAATAAATAATAAAAAATATTATATATATATATATATATATATATATATATATATATATATATATACCAGATGTTATTAGTTGCATGTGTGCATGCATATACATATAGACACATAAATAGATAAGTACGTATTTGGACACTATTAGAGAGGTCCTGAACTGAAGCTCTCCTTTCAGGTCAAGAAATCTTTCAACGAGAGAACACCAGATAAAGTTTTGGTACCAAAATTTCAGAATTAGCTATAAATGCATTAAGACTGGTCCAGGTTCTGGGGGTGGGGGGATTCATCTAGCAGAACACGTGAAAGTGGTGTATTCTTCCGAGATAAGTTCAAAGGAAATTGACGATTAACAGTGTGAGATTTAAAAAAAATCATTTACCAAAGAGAAAAGCTTAACAGAACGATTATCATAAAAAGGTTTATAGAAAAAGCACAAAAACAAAAAAAGCGTACAACGCCTGAAACTTCGTGAATATAACAATAAAGATGAGGACAACAAGCCGAGCAATGTAAATAGTGTAAAAGTTTAATATTAAACAAAAGAAAAAAAAAAAAAGGGGAAAGTAACTAGAATCGAGATGCCAGCCCAGGATTGCTAAAATATCAGATTTTCCTTTCAGATATGGCAACAGTATTCAATGTACGGGCGAATGGTAGACTTATAACTGCAAGATAAGCTGCTGGCGAGAAAAATTGTCTAGCAGGACAGAGTGAACTGACTTTCCTAGAAGCAGAATTAGTAACTAACAATATAATCTTTCTACTTCAGTGTAAAACGTTAGACCGAGAAGGCGCAATGTGTTGCTCTTCTGGAGGTTAGCATCAGCCATAGTATGCATCGGGTTCGGTTCTCTCAACTGACCATTCTTCAATAACGCAGGTTTGTCAACTCCGGTACAGTAGAGATTTTCTTTCCTACTTCTGAATTTTGCTAAACGCTAAAGTCACACTTGAAAGGCGAAGGAATTCAAGAAAGCGGATGAATTGAAGAAGGACATGAAGAGACAGATGTTGCTGATACCGAAAATGAATTTGAAACAATAAGGTGTCATTGCATCAAATAGACAACGTTTTTTGCTGTAGGAAAAGGATGAAAAATTTCCGGCAAGGCGTCGTGTATCAAGAGATATAGAGACATCTATATCTTTAAAGATCTACACGCGAAATTCAAATTTTACTGAAACCTTACTTTTCCTTTTTTCCTCTTTACTAATTCATGCTATTATATCTAGAAGTCGTAGGATATAAAAACTGTCTGAGTGTTTCCAAGAAAAGTAAGAAGCCAAAATCATAATGATAATTAAATTCGGACAAATTAAGATTATCTCTCTATATTTCTAAGCTGTATTTACACTATATACATTGTTCGGACTCTTTTCCTCATCTTTATTGCCATATTCACCTTCAACATCTGTCTATATTTCTGAGATGAGGTATTATAACTATTTACACTATTTACATAGTTCGGACTCTTTTCCTTATCTTCATCATGGACTAAATAAAGGGTTCGGTTCGAAATTTCAACTTATATCACATGAAGAAGACCGGAGCGTACAACGGCTGAAACGTCGTGAATATGACAATACAGATGAGGGCAACAGGCCAAACTATGTAAATATTGTAAATAAATTATGATTAATATTAAATTATGTAGTAGAGGAAACTAAGTAACGAAAACTAGATGAAAAAATAGTAAAGAATGAATAATAATTTAGATTAATAAGCCGTAAAAAACAAACCAATCTAAACAATTTACTATACTTAATTGTAGAAATTTTGGCAATTAAATATTAGATGAAAATAGGTAACAAAAATTAGAAGCGAGAAAAAAAAAACTGATAATTTAATGTACTTCATCTGAGAACTTTGGACAATGTAATACGGTTAAGAAACAAAACCAAATAAAAAAAAAGCTATTGCAGAACTGACAATAATTTACTATGATGCAACGTCGTGAATATGACAATAAAGATGACAACTTAAGCCTTTGAGCCGTGCATTCCTGAACAAGTTTAACTATCCTGCTTGAGCTCCTGAGTCAAAATTCGCAAATAATTGGTATGTAATATTTCATGGCTGGGCATTAAGTCATTTTTCTCTACCCCCATTGATGCTGTGGCCAGGGATCAAAGGGTTAAGGCTGCTACATATTAGATGTAGACAAGAAATACAAATCAAATGAAAAAAAATCATAAAAAGTGACAATAACTTACAGCTTTCGTTTGGTTGGTGGTTTTTGTTTAGCGTCATATCAACACCTCTGTAGGTTATTTAATGCCAAAATCTAAATATTTTGTACGCAATTCTATAATTTCTTTCTGGCGAAAGAAGAGGTGGATTCATACCTTTCCCAAGAGTACTTATGCGTAAATGAATATAATAAACCCAACCGGAATTGGAACTCGGTTCTTCCATTAACAATTCTGAACCATTATCTGTTACACCACTCGCACATCGAAACTTACAGCACCTAGTATTCCCAAACGGTTACCCATCTAGGTACTAGCCATGTTTGACGTTGCTTAACTTCGGTGTTCGTACTGGTACCAGTGTTTCGACGTGACTTTCGGTCAAGTTAAGGCCCATGCATGTTTGAAATATTGACGAATCATGATTAATGACAGAATGATCTTTTGCAGGTTCTTCTTTTTCTGTCAGGCGTAAATAGTGATTTTCCAAGCTTAGCTTAAATGTGGCACAAAGCCTAAAGTGAGGACCGAACTCACTACTCAGCCGTAATTATTCTAGCGAGAAAAGCTTGCTAACCATTACATTGCCTCGAGGTGCTCCTGTCTATATTGACACTTCGACGTGGTGCAAGCTTGTCTCGCTAGAACAATTACGACTGAATAGTGAGTTCGATCCTCACTGGGTGCTCCATAATTTCGACCTTGTGCCATATCTAAGCCACGCTTAGAAAATCACCATAAATTTATAGAGAAAAGGAATACAGAATTAGAGGAAAGCAACGGAAAGAGGCGCCTTTTATCTGAAGATGGCTACAATTTGTGTCATAGCCTGTAAAAACTTTGTTAAGAAACAAATAATGTATCTTTATATTCTTTAAAGAAGGCACCGTCACGCAAAAGAAGATAACGACACATATAAATAAAATATCTATACAATCATATATATATATATATATATATATATATATATATATATATATATATATATATATATATATATATATATATATATATATATATTCATTGGAAGAATACAAGAGCGAGAGACGGAGATAGAGGAGTAGAGATTATCCATTTTATCGCTTCAAAATAATTCAATTCTGTTTGCAAGCATTAATTCCCAAAAGGGATTGACTTCGTTCTAGATTACAGGCAACAAATTCAACTGATAACGGTGCCTGTCAAATTTGATAGCGGAAGAACGATGTGTGTCTGTTGTCGCTCTGACTTATTTCCACTGTGTTATACTTACTCTCTGTGACGTCTGTAACGCGGTCTGCGATGCCAAATCTTGGAATACGATCTGTGAAGGCGGCAGTAGCACGTTCCGAGGACTATAAGGACAATGACCAAGGCACCACCCAGTGTTCCACCCAGGATATAAATACTATGAATGTGGTGCACATGGGTGGTGTCCCGGAACGGGAAAGGGTGATCCTCGATCGGTTGTGGTGCAAACAGATCAACTGAAAAATAATAGAAGATTTGAACAAATGTTTAAAAAAATGATACATAAATTCTGTGATGATTTGATAAAAAAAGAATTAAAATCGTATTCTGAAACAGCAAAAGTATTATATGTTTGAGGTCATAGATGATTCGCCATTTTAAATTGTTTTCATTAGTAAATATTAACTCAATACTAGGTTCAAAAGCCACTCAGTGTAAGGGGTTACTGAGGGAAGTTTCTGTGATGACGTAAAGGGAAGAATTAAGTTTGGTTTGGCTTGTTTTACGGCATATCAATCTTAATGGGTTATTTAATGCTAACAAAATTTTTATTGCTTTATCTTTTCAAAAAGTATTTTTATTAATATTTTTTTTAAAAAATGTATTGCTGGTTATAAGTTTTTCACCAAAAATTCATTACTGGTAAAAAAGATTTTTACAAAAATATTTTACTGGTATTAAAACCTATTTTTACACATTTTGATCCCAGTTTGGGGGTTAACTATTTGCCCATAGCTGGGACCCTAATAGGTGATACCACCCCGGGTCAAAGTGGACCTGGGAGCATCAACAATGAAGAGGTGGCCCCAAGCTCCTCAAAACCTCCTGAACAGAGGCCTTGCTGCCGGATGTAGTTTATCATCTTACCCAGGACTCGGATGTTGTTAATCGTCATACTCAGGACGACGAGGGGGAGTAAGCGCAGATAATGAGGATATCTAGGATCAATAATGGTTGGTCTTAGACTTGAAGAGGTTAAGATTGTAGCGATCGAGGAAGCATACCCACTGGAGTTCTTTCCACGAAGAAACTGTTCTCAGAAAAAATCTGTCTGAAAAAAAGTCCTTCTTATCAACGAAATGCGAAGGGAATGAGTATGATTCGATTCCGTGTGTGTGTCCTAACTGGAAATGTCTGGACACGTGGAAGTAAGGAATGTAATTAGTCTGAACATTTGCCATGGATATAGTGATAGAGTAGCAATGGGCTTGTGAATTTTCGCCTGTAGGAAAGTGGTAGAAGGATGGAAAATAATCGCCTACAATTGCGCAAGAAAAATGCTGCAGTTTTATATCTGAAGCTGTATTATCAGCTAACTTAATATTTATTCAAACTGTCAGTAATCTATAATACTGTTAAATTGAATGTAAATGGATGAAGGATGAGATGTCTGGTAGGCTAATGTTTATCCAGACGACATAAACTAATGATACTAATCTAACACCATAATGCTACAAAATTTAAGTGAAGGCTTTCTTTTAAAGTCTTAATTAGCTTTTAAATCAATTCTGAAATGTAACGAAGAAAAGTAACTTTAAAATAGACTGGTATCTGTCTATAGCTCTGAGATGAGGCATTGTAACTATTTACATTCTTCGGGGTTTCGTCCTCATCTTTATTGTTCTATTCACGACATTTCAGCAGTTGTATGCGCCGACCTTCTTCAGGATCTGTCTATATATCGGAGATGAGGTACTGTAAGTATTTACGCTATTTACATCGTTCGGACTGTTTTCCTCATCTTTATTGTCACATTCACGACGTTTAGGTCGTTGTACGCTCCGGTCTTCTTCAGGATCTGTCTATATTTCTGAGATGGGGCATTGTAACTATTTACACAATTTCCATTGTTCGGACTGTTGTCCTTATCTTTATTGTCATAATCATGACGTTTGACCGCTGTACGCTCCGGCCTTCTTCATGCGATATATGTTTGAATTTCGAACCGAACCCAGTGGATAAATGCATTGGTTGAAGTAATCCAATGTCTTGACCCAAAGAATTGCAAGTTCAATACCTGGCTACGGCAGAGGTGAACAAAAACTTAGAGAGTTGAATTACTAAGAGGAAATGACTGAAACAGATATCAAGAAAAGGCATGGCACGTGGAACTAGAACAATCTACCTCAGTGGACTAAATAAATGGTTGATTTCGAAATTCCATATATAATACCCGAAGAATGTCAAAACGTCGTGAATATGAAAATAAAGATGAGGACAACAGTCCGAAGAATGTAAATAGTGTAAATATATTGGTAATGTTTGATTAATATTCAAAGCAGTGTCGTTTTCATTTCACACGAAGATCAGGATATTAGCAAAACCATCGAAATTCTATGGTTAAGATTATATTGATTGTCTATGTTTGTAAGAGTTCCCTACCTTTTTGTATTTATCAATACCCAGTTAACCATTTTTATTCCTTCAAATGTGAATTTTCTCAGCAATGGATTTTTTTATCAAGCTGAGAAAGAGTAATTATCACTTTTAAGAATAAGTTACTCACACTGATAGGATTCGAACCTGCGTCTATCGAGGCAGAGTAAGCTACTGCTTATCCAGACACTCGCTCATCAACTGAGCCACAAAGATCAGCTGATAGGGCAAGGATGAATTTTAGCTTTTAAGCGAAATCTCCCCCGTCATAGATCTCCCCCGTCATAGATCTCCCGATTTTTTTTTAATATCTGCACATTTTTTTATCCAAATGTAAACAAAGTGAATTTTCTAAGTAATAGATTTATTTTTATCAAACCGACATTTTGTTTGTCACTTCAAACGCTATTGTTAGTGGATACTCGTATTTGAATAGACGCTTCGTTCATTTATTAAACATTATATATATTTATTTTCCTCTATCGGCCTGAATGTTTAATTAATGAAAACCTTAATCTCTCTGGCAGGATTCGAACCTGTGCCCCTCTTGACAGAAAGAGCTACCGTGAAACTCGGCGATATTCTAGATATCCTTCATTGTTCTAGCGATAATATTTCAAATGAAATGAAACCAAATGTACAATGCACATTTGAATGTGAAGAAGACTCTAGTCGTCGGTCTAAGGCATCACGACCTTCTATATTTACATACTTTAGTGATTTTTTCTGTCTGTAATTAACAATCCTCTTAGAGTCGCTACCCTGATGTTTAGAATTTGATTTTTCTTTCGTTCTACCTGCCTACAGTGGCATATCGAAACATTCATCATTTCAAAGAGGATGACAAACATACACTCACAAAACTTGGCCGATTCGTCGCGGTGTAATGGCTAGAAAAATTGTCTAGCTGGATCAATTACGACTTAGTAGTCAGTTAGATCCTCACTGGGCGCCCCGGACTTTCGGCCTCGTGCCACACCTTGGTTACGATTAGAAAACCACCATACACTCCCATAAATGTATATATAAGATATATCCAGGACGTATATAGACATTCTGACTTTTACCAGAACCGGTTGTGCGTCCTCGATGTAACATAGCAATCAATAGTTATTCAGAATGAGCTTGTCTACTAGGGGATTTACCCATTAAAAATTGACTAACGAAATTGATTGATCACATTTATTGCTGTTTTTTTTTCTCTCGTAAAACATCGTCTCATCCCGATCTGTTAACATCCTTTTTATTATAGTAGCCATTTCGCGCACTATGATTTTTCTAATGTTAAAATCCATCTTGGAAAAGAGTGGACGAGATTAAAAAGAACGTTACACGGCAGCCGAGGGCGATTTTGAAATATTACTACTACTTTTTACTTTGAAAAGCCTAGTCGAATAAATGTCGGCGCTTATATTTTATGAGTATCATGACCGAGAAAATTCACGGCCAGTCATTTCTTGATCATGTAGGTCATCTGTGAAAGAATGAAGCCTTTCGGAAACATATATAACTAAACCCTTGATTTTGGTCCTGAATATTCAAGCAGGTTATTCTTGGTTACACCTTCATTATATATCGAGAACGATTTTCGGATAATCTATATGAACATGGGAAAAGTTTTCGTGAAACACGTTTTATCCTTTAGAAATTTGTCGGACTAAAGTGATATTTACATCGATGCGAATACACATGTGCCACAAGGCGGGGGTATGTGTAAAAATATTTAAATTTAAAATTCCAGTGTCCGCTTTCTATCGTGTGCATA